CGGGCTACAATCGGATTTTTGGGACTATGTTTTGATTTAAACCGTAATTTTTACACCAAACCATTAATTTTACAAAATTGCTACTTAAATTCTAACCATGCCTGAAATTTAAGCTATCAGATCCGTAACGCTTGTTCTGGTAGTTTCCCTTTCACCCAGATGATTTTGAAACTATGGATGTTGTATACATTTCATATCATCTTCAAAATCAACCCCCTTCTTCTAAACTTTGTTGGAAATATATTTGTATATCCCATCACTTGCCACGCTCATGCCATAGAATAAGGAAGCATTTTAAAAATCATTCATAGTTAACAACAACAACAACATCCACAAAAACAACAAGAAGTACAACAACACTCAACACAACATTGTATACAATGTAATGCGGTTGCAGTTTTTGGAACCATGGCATAAAATGCAACAACAGCAATTGTACGCAGGCAACACACATCGACGCACAAGCACATAGGCTAACGAATGGACGGACGGATGAACGAACGAACATTCACATCAAATAGCTATTGACGCAACATCCATACAAAACGTCATGACAATGACGACAACACAACGAACATGATGATGTTACCAACAATAAACGCACACACACACACACACCAACAACAAAAACAATATTATGCATTTAATATATGTACGAATGTATGTAAGTAGTTGTGTGTATGTGCGGATGTTGTGTTTTGTTTGTCCTTCCAACCATTGTCTGTCGTCCATGTTTGCTGACCATTCGTTCGCCGTCGTTGTTTTTTCTTTTTTTTCGTTGGACTTTCCCTTTGGTCCAATCGTTTATCTTTTAGTACTGGGAGTTGTTGTTGTTTTTTGTTTTTGTTGTTGTTGTTTTTTTTTGCATTGTTGTCTGTCCTTGCATGCATTTGGTCTTCGTTGCCCATCCATGTTTTGGTTTGAGGCAAACAAACAAACACACATCACGGTGAAGTTCAGGTGTGTTAGCCCATGTTCGTCCAAGTGTGTCATGGAATATATATATATGTGTGTATGTATATATGTGTGCCCCTTCGATTGTCAAAGTTATCACACTGTGACATGTTGCTGCTGCCGTTGCTGTTGCTCCTTTGGTTGCTGGCTTCATGTTTTCTGGTTTTTTTTTAATTTTGCATCTGTGTGTTCACCACTGGGACCCAACCAACAAACTGACTGACCAACATTATCCCATAACGTTGTGTGCGGACATAGATCGACACTTGCCTGGAATCTCCTCGAATCCATGGCTTTTCTAACCTTGTGGGGGACCAAAGAGATGAGGTTTTTTGTAAGTTTTTTTTTATTTTTTAATTTAAACTTTAATTTCAATTTATTAAGGTTAAGGTTATAAACATGGACTCTTTAATATCGCTTCTGCAAGGACCTTTAAGGCTTCAAATGTATGTATGTTTTAAATATTTGTATAGAACTTTGAAGTTTTTTTATAAATTAGTTTTTATTTATGAATATTTTTAATGACCTTTAAGGATTATTAATTTTTTTTAGGATCTTTAAGGATACACTCGTGGATTCCTTAAAAAATATTTTCTGAGGACCTCTAAGAACACAAACATGAATTTTTCAAAAAATATTTTTAAGGGCCCTAAGGATATATACTTGGAGTTTTAAAGACTATTTATCAAGGACATTTAAGGTCATAAATATGGATTTTCGAAGGACTTTTTAGGTCATGAGTTTTTTGGATTGATTTTTTAAAAATATTTTTCAAGGACATTTAGGGCCACAAACATGAATCTTTTAAAGAATATTTTTAAGGATACAAATGTGAATTCTTGGGAAAGACCTTTAAAGCTACAAACATGCATTTTTTAACATTTTCTAGAATCTTTAGGGCCAAATATATGGATATCTTAAATAGGACCCTAAAACAAAAATTGATTTTTTTAAAAATACTTTTCAAGGTCCTTCAATGCTACAATCGTGGATTTTTTAAATATTATTTTTAAGGACTACAAACGAGTACTTTTTAAAGAATATTGTTCAAGAACTTTTGAGGACACAAACGTGAATTTTTTAATATTTTTTAAAGACCTTTAGGGCTATAATCGTGGAAGTGTTAAAGATATTTTTTTCAACGACCTTTAAGGTCACAAACGTGAATTTTTAAAGAATATTTTTCAGGAAACTTTAAGACTACAACCGCGCATGATTTTTTTAAGAATATTTTTACGGGCCTTGGATCTTAATTTATTAAAGAAAATATTTAAGGACCTTTAAGGACACAAACGTGAATTTCCTAAGGAATATTTTTTAGGACCATTAATGATAAAAACGTGGATTTAAAAAAAAATAATTTTCAAGGATAATTTTAAAAATAGATATTTTCAAGGTATATTTTTTAAGGACCTTGTAGGTTGCGGAAATATTTTTTTTAAAAATATTTTTTTCAAGCCCCTTTAAAGATACGAAAGTTTTTTTTTTAAGAATATTTTAAGGGCCCTTTGGGATGCGGAAGTGGTTTTTTAAATATTAATTTTCCAAGGACCTTTAAGGATACAAAGTTTTTTTTTTTTAAATAACATTTTTTCAAGCACTTTTAATAATACAAACTTGGATTTTTTAAAGAATATTTTTCAAGGACCTTTAAGGATACAAGCATAGACTTTTTTTATAATTTTAAACATTTAGGGATACAATCGTGTATTTTAAAATAACTTTTTTTTGGGGATGTTTAAGGATATAAACTCGTTTTTTCAAGAATTTTTGAAGGTTCTTTAAGACCACGATCGTTGATTTTTAGACAATATTTTTAAGGACCTTTTTACATTTTTTAACACCGTTGAAAATTCATTTATTTCTTAATATGTATTTTTTTACGGATCTTTAATGATTTCTATAACCAATATATCCAGGACCTTCAAGGATACTAACCATAATTTTTTAAATAATACTTTTTAGGACCTTCAAACCTTTTGGGAGTTTTAGAAACATTTTTGAGGACCTTTTAGGCTACAAACGTTTACTTTTTAAAACATATTTATAAGGACCTTCAAGGATTTTTAAAGATACAAAGGTAGATTCAAAGAATGTTTGTAAGGACATCTGGGGATACAAACGTGGTTTCAAAGAATGTTTGTAAAGACCTCCAAGAATACACATGTGGATCTTTTAACGAATATATTTTGAAGATGTTTAAGGATATAAACTTGGATTCTTTAATTTTGATTGTTGATGCTTTAGACATTATTTTTAAGGACCTTTTGAATTTTTTAATCTTTTAAAGGTACTTTGAGGCCGCAAAAGTTAAAAATAAAAAATATTTTTTAAGGACCTTTTAGGATGCGGAAGTGGTTCTTTAAAGATTAAGTTTGAAAGAACCTTTAAGGATACTAAGGTTTTTTAAAAAATATTTTTTAAGCAACTTTAGGAATACAAATGTGGACTTTTTATAGAATTTTTTAAGGACCTTTAAGGATACAAGCATAGGGTTTTTAACAATATATAACCTTCAAGGATACAAAAGTGAGTTTTATAAAAAATATTTTTTGAGGATATTTAAGGTTATAAACTTAGATTTTTCAAAGAATTTTTGTTCTTTAAGACCAAGATTGTTGATTTTTAAGGACCTTTAAGGATTTTCTATTTTTATAAGACCATTGAGGCCGCAAACCTTTTTTCTTAAAATATACATCTTTACGGATCTTTAATGATTTCTAAAAACAATATATCCAGGACTATCAAGGATACTAGTCATAATTTTATAAATAATACTTTTTAGGATATTCAAACCTTTTAGTAGTGTTAGAAACATTTTTGAACAAACGGGTATTTTTTAAAATATATTTGTAAGGATCTTCAAGGATTTTTAAGGATACAAAAGTAGATTCAAAGAAAATTTCTAAAGACCTTCAAGGATACAAATGGGGATTCAAAGAATATTTGTAAGTACCTCTTAGGATACAAACGTCGATTTTTTAACGAATATATTTTGAAGATGTTCAAGGATACAAACTTGTATTCTTAAATTTTGATTGATTGCTTTTTAAGACATTTTTTTAAGAACCCTTAAGGATTTTCAAATTTTTAAGGACTTTTGAGACCGTAAATATTGATTTTTTAAAAAAAATATTTATAAGGATCTTTATTGGTTTCTAAAAACATTTTTTTAGGGACCTTCAAGGATACAAACTATAATTTTTTAAATAATACTTTTTTAGGACCTTCGAACCTTTCAGGAGTATTTGAAACATTCTTTCGAGCACCTTCAAGGCTCTAAAAATGTGTATTTTTTAAATGAGACTGCGAACTTGATTTTTATAAAATATTTCTTGAAGCCCCATTAGGCTACACGTAGTGATTTTTCTAAGAATAATTTTGAAGGTTATAAATTAAGGTAAAGCCTGGTTTTTTAAGGATATGTTTGGATGATAATTAAGGCTAAAAATTAACTATCTAAAAACTAACAAGGCAACAAACCAGGACTTTTTAAGAATACGTTTTGAAGGATTTTTAATGCCATAATCGTGGGAGTTTTTTTTTAATATTTTTAAAGAAAATCTAAGGTTAAAAACGTGCTTCAAATGTGTCCTTTTAACACAATGTTAATAATCTTGCATATTGAAGGATATTTTTAAAGGACAACCTGACCTATAATCTTTGATTTGTTTAAAAAGTTTTTTTTTTTTTTTTTTTTTTTTTGATTAATGGCGAATAATATTAATGTTAAGTATGTTTGATCAAGGCTAACATGATTTCTCAAGTTTGATTTTTAAGGACACCTTTTCAAGGACAATCCGACCTGTAAACTGACATTTTTTAAATATATTTTTTTCTAGGAAAGCCTGACCTATAATCGTTGACTTCTCAGGACATGTTTCAAGGACAACCTAATTTTTAACCTTGTATTTTTAGGATGGGTTTTAAGGACAATCTGACCTATAATCCTTTTTTGTACTTTTTGCCAATAATTTATTCAACCCAATGCCGATTTTTCCGTAAAATCCTGAAACATAATTCTTTGCCATAAACTCTCATTACAGGAATTCTCCTCTGTGCTATTCGAATCGCAAAACAACTTTTCCAATGAAGCTGTTACATTTGCAACCATTTGCTCAACATTCGCTTCGGTAAGTAAATATGTGACTTTCTTTGATTTCACCTTTAAAAATTCCACAACAACAATAACAACGACACAAAGTTTCATATATCACTGGGTTTCAAGTTAAGAAGAACATTTCGATACGCAATGTAACAACGAGTGAATGAAAAAATATGTTTTCCCCGAAAAGGGGGGGGGGAGGGTGATGGGTTTTGCTAAAAGAAACCATGGCAGGTCTGAAGTAAAAGAAAAAAAATAAAGAGATTTCATGGGGATTATGCCAATTATATTTTATCGTAAGTTTTATTCTTTTTTCTCCTTCTCTAGCCATCCTTCTCCTCCACCTCCTCATCATCTGATTTCGATTTTTTTCAATTTATTTTTGTTGCGTTTCAGTTCAGTGAGTTGTTTGTTTCCATATTTATTTGATTTTTTTCTTTCTTAGTATCCTTTTTTTCCCCTCTTCCCATGCTCTTCCTTGGCGAACCCTTATCACTTGACTGACAAATCAAAGCGTATTGGTTGATGGCAAGCACTGGTGTTGCCATTGCCAATGCCCTTCAGTTCGTCGTTGGCCGTTGCTGCTGGTAATTCTCGCAAATTACAGATGCACCGAAGAATGAAAAACGAGAAAACAGGATTTGTTGTCTTTTTTGACGGACAGGGATTAAAAAAAAAAGAAATGACGACAACAACAACAACACTGTTGTGAGATTTTCCTTTTGAACTCAAGTTGTTGCCAGGGTGATGTTCACCAAGGGACGGAGGGGGAAAGTTTCTTATTTTGAATAGTAAGTTTTTTACAGCTTGACATGTAGTTGTTTTGGGGTTTAACGCGCTATAGCTTTGGGATAACATGTGTTTTACAGAAAAATGGGGATCGGGTTAAAGGTGTAGATTTAAACTGAAATTCACACATTCGTTAAAAAAATATTGTACATTAGATTAGTTTTAGGATGGCAAGTTGGCTCCCCCTGAAATAGTTTTGAATGGCATTTCTGGCTTAATCACTAATTCGGTTTAAAATACTGAACAATTCATACGTTTTTGTGAAGAATAGAATACTTGATTACAGGAAGTTGTTTTTTTTTATTTCGAACCCGTGGAAGGAGTCAGAATTTGAATCCTCTGCATAAATTTTGTAAAAATATGAATTTTATCGACCTTTAAGAATACAAATATAGATATTTTAAAAACTGTTCTTAGGGAATTTGGGGCTACAAATTTGGAATTTAAGGAATATTTTCTAAAGGACCTCAAAGGCTACAAATATATTTTTTAAAAAGCAATTATGAAGAACATTTAAGGACAAAAACGTGGATTTTCCCATTCATACAAGTGGACTTTTTATGAATATTTTTGAAGGACCTTTATTTGGATTTTAATTAAATAAGTTTCAATGATCTTTAAGGCTACATATGTGGTTTTTTAAGAAAAGTCCTCATGGGCATTTTAGGCATCAAACGTAGATTTTTAAGAATATTTTTTCAAGTCCTTTGTTAGGTCTAACGACTTGAATTTTTTTAGAATATTTTGCAAAGGATCTTTAAGACCGTAAAAGTGAATTTTTAATCAATATTTCTCCAGAACTTTTAGGGCTACAAACTAGGATTTTTTTATATATTGTTTTCAGGACTTTTAAACGGAAAAATCTGTTTTCAAGAGCTAAAATCTTGGATTTTTAAATACTGTTTTCAGTACCCATAAACGTGGATTTTTTAAATAATGTTTTCAGGATTTTAAGGTCGTATAAGAGTTGACTTTTTTTAAATACTGTTTTCAGAATTTTAAGGTTGTATAAGCGTTGACTTTTTTAAATACTATTTTCAGAACCTATAAACGTGGATTTTTTAAAATTCTCTTTTCACGATCTTCAGGAATTTTTTCTTATGTTTTTACTTTTTTTCAAGTCATTTATAGCTTCAAACTTGGTTTTTAATGAATATTGTTTCCAGGACATTTGGATTTTATAAGAGGATGCAGGAACTTTGGGGCAACAAACTTGGATTTTTTTAAGAATATTTTTCGCAGAGTCTTTAGGACCGCCAAAATATAGTTTTTAAAATCTTCAGAAACTAGAAAATTGGATTTTTTTAATACTTTTTTCAGGACTTTAAGGACGTATAAACGTTGACTTTTTAAATACTGTTTTCAGGATCTTCAGGACCTATACATGTGTTTTTTTTAAATACTGTTTTCAGAATCTTCAGGACCTATAAAAGTGGATTTTTTATAAAATGTAATACTGTTAATACTATTAACGTTCAGGATCTTCAGGACCCATAAACGTGGATTTTTTTAAATTCTGCTTTCAGGATCTTTAGGGCCTATAAACGTGGATTTTTTTTAAACACTGTTTTCAGGATTTTCAGGACCTATAAACGTGAATTTTTTAAATACTGTTTTCAGGAATTTAAGGTTGTATAAACGTTGATTTTTTTGAATACTGTTTTCAGGATTTTCAGGACCTATAAACGTGAATTTTTTAAATTCTGTTTTCAGGATCTTCAGGACTTTTTCTTATGTTTTTACTTTTTTTCAAGTCCTTTATAGCTTCAAACTTGGTTTTTAAAGAATATTGTTTCCAGGACATTTAGCGCTATTTATGTCTAAAAACATGGATTTTATAAGAGGACGTTTGCAGGAACTTCGTGGCGACAAAGTTAGATTTTTTCAGAATATTTTTCGAAGGATCTTTAGGACCGTAAAAATTGATTTTAATCATTATTTCCTAGGACTTTTAGGGCTACAAACTTGGATATTTTTAATATTGTTTTCAGGATCTTCTAAACCTATAACGTGGATTTCTTTAAATACCGTTTTCAAGATCTTCAGGACCATTAAACGTGAATTTATTTAAATACTGGCAGGATCTTCAGGCCCTATAAACGTGGATTTTTTTATATACTGCTTTTCGGATCTTTAAGACCTACTAACGTTCAGGACCTATTAAAGTGGATTTTTTAAATACAATTTTCTGGATCTTCAGGACCTATTAACGTGGATTTTTGAAATACTATTTTCAGGATCTTCAGTACCTAATAACGTTCAGGATCTTCAGTACCTTTCAACGTTCAGGATCTTCAGTACCTATTAATGTTCAGGATCTTCAGAACCTATAAACGTGGATTTTTATACCGTCCACCATAGTATGGAGGGTATATTAAGTTTGTCATTCCGTTTTGTAACACCTCGAAAAACATACATTTTAGATTTAGCGATATCCGTCCGCCTGTCTGTTTGTGGAAATCACTTTAGCTTCCGAAAGAAATGAAGTAGGTTGATAAAATTTTTCTCAAATGTATATTATATCTGCAGAACTTTTGGTATTGAAAATGGACCCTGTGGGTCCATGTTTTGGTATAGCCCCTATTTAGTGACACCTCCCTATTTTCGGTATTTTGGCGATTTAAGCTACATTATTCACTGGCATTGTTTCAAATTTGGTATTTGAAGTTCGTAATAGATACTACAGCCTAAGACAGAAGATTGTCTGTGCAGGTCCATTTTTATTTTTTTGCAAATTGTCAAATTTGTTCCAAATGGTGGAGGGTATAGCCCGGATCTTCAAAACCTATAAACCTGCATTTTTTCTAAATACAGATTCTTTAAACCTGGATTTTTTACTGTTTTCAGAATCTTTAGGACCGTGGATTCTTTTAAATACTGTTTTCAGGATCTTCAACGTGGATTTTAGCTCAATATTTGTTTAAGGACTTCTAGCGCTAAAACGCGGATTCTTAATGAACTATTTTAGGATGTTTGTGGCTACATTAGTCTTACAGTCTAAAGGGCTATCGAATTTTGAGAATAGTTTTTTTTTTTTTTTTTGAAGGCTTCGAAAGAGGATTTTTCTTCCAGGACCTATAAACGTAAATTTTAAGAATATTTTTTATTGACATATAAAGCCCCAAACTTAGAATTTAAGGAATATTTGTTCGAGGATTTAATGAAAACGTTTGTCAGGACCTTTGAATATATTTTTTTTAAAAATTTGAGACGTTAAAGTTGAATATTTTTAAGAATATTTTTATTGAAGGCTGTAGACGTGAATTTTTTAATGAATATTTGAAAATTTTAGTTATCGTGGATTAATGATAGTAGATTATTTAAAGTTATTTTTCAAGGGTCATCAGACCAATAATCGTGGATTTTTAGGAATAATTTTCATCAGACCAATAATCGTGATTTTTTTTAAATTATTTTTCAAGGATCATCGGACCAATAATAGTGGATTTTTAAGGAATAATTTTTCAAGGATCATCAGATCAATAATCGTGGATTTTTTTTAAATATTTTTTCAAGAATCATCAAGCCAATAGTCGTGGGCTTTTTATAAAAAAAATTTTCATCAGACTAATAGTCGTTGTGTTTTTATGAAACATGTTTCAAGGATCATCATACCAATAATCATAGATTTTAAATTTTTTCAAGGATAATCAGACCAATCATAATAGATTTTTAATTTTTCAAGGATCATAACCAATAATCGTGGATTTTTTAAGAATAATTTTTCAAGGATCATCAGACCAATAATCGTAGATTTTTTAAGAATAATTTTTCAAGGATCATCAGATCACTATTCGTGAATATTTCAAGAATATTTTTTCAAGGATCATCATTTTCATAATCGTGGATTTTTTAACAATTATTGTTTCAAGGATTATCAGACCAACAATCGTGGATTTTTTAAAAATAATTTTTCAAGGATCATCAGACCGTGACTTTTGAAGAATCCTTTTTTAAGGATTATGAGACCAATAATCATAGATTTTTTAAGAATCATTTTTCAAGGATTATCATACCAACAATCGTGGATTTTTTAAACATAATTTTACAAGGATCATCAGACCAATAATCGTGGATTTTTTAAGAATAATTTTTCAAGGATCATGAGACCAATAATCGTTGATTTTTGAAGAATATTTTTTAAGGATTATCAGGCCAATAATCGTAGATTTTTTTAAAAATAATTTTTCAAGGATCATCATTTTAATAATCGTGGATTTTTTAAGAAATATTTTTTCA